GTGTGTGTGTGTGTGTGTACGTGTGTGTGTGTGTGTAGTACACGTACACATGTGTGTGTGTGTGTGTGTGTGTGTGTGTGTGTGTGTGTGTGTGCGTGTTTAACTATTGGAAGGCCATGAACAGAAACTAAGCCTGTTGATCACATAGAGTTGTCTTATATATATATACACAAGTATGTAGGCACAAACTTTATGCACACGTGGCATATCTCTGCTGCAATAGACATCAATCCCACATACTGCTCGAAGCTTACAATTTCGGATGAGCTCACTACTATTCCCAAGAAGAGCATTTTGAAACTGCAGCGCAGTCAATGTTTCCTTCTTGACTGGCACCGCACCTTTCGTACTTCGGCCCATACTGTACAAACGGTCAATTGGTTATACGGCACTATGCACGCTTTTATGCTATAGTAGTGACTATCGATGCCTCGCCGATTTCCTTAATGATCGTAAGACTGTGGCATGTATTACAATTCGATAGCACCGATCTATCCGGATGGGTTAGGAAGAGCATACATTCAGCTATACTAAGGAACTGAGCAGATAGTGACTTCCATGCACTGCACGGTAGAGCCTTATCAGTAAAAAGTTAAGATGGTAATACACGGCACGTGCAGTTAAATATCAAATTTTAAGGGGGGAAATACCACATGAGACAACCAACTGATGACGTAAGCAATTCTTCCGTCACAATGCCAAGGCGAAAATATCGTATTTGTATACAATGTATGCTGCACTTTCTTCTGAACTCGGAAAATATGTATACCATAGCCTTCTAAATTGAGCAAGCAGGCGATGCATATATTTACATGCATTTCAGCATGTCGATAGCGACTAATGTCAACATACACGTGCGCAAGCTTTTACTGTTGTGAATTTCAAATGCGAGACAACTTATTAGGTGGTGAAGGTAAATTTTATTTTTGTTTCTATTCACGCTTTATACCCGCACTGAAGTTTGCGCGTCTCAATTAGGTGTATACATAGTACACACAGGCGAATTTCTTATGTTTCTAGTCACATAACCAATACATTCACATCTCTTTTGCAGTTGCCACTACGGTTTAATGCATCTACGAGTGTACGTGACGGTGCTATTAAAAACCGATTCCCGTATTTTCAATAGATACTGAGACGTCCACTTCGTACTCATATTTTTAACTTTAGAAAAGAATGTCTCAAAAAGACCAACGAAATCGAAGGATTGATTGTTATCTTTTTTGTGTCCGTACAATTGTACAGATTTACCTGGAATTCATGATTCGATTGCCAAATGAATATCGCTGACACTTTTCATTTTGTACTATCGCAGATTGCCGAGAGATAGACATAATTGATGGTTTCCATCAAAGTTGCAGAAAGCTGGCGCATTCAATAATCCATTCATTCGGTTCTATGCACCAGCGTATCTGTATGCCTGGGATTACATAAGTTTCTCACTTGTATCGGATCCTGTGATGGCTATAAAATATTAAGAGCGCGCGATCGTGTACATTTGTATATTTTTACAGCACCGTAAACTGAACGAATGTATGTTTTCTTCTATCAAAGTATAACTTATATCAAATATATTGCTTGCCAAAAGTGTTCACAATGACTCCTTCGTGGACATGCTTTATTTTTGGTATAGGTGTACCAAGTTGCCTCTAGGCTGATTTGATGATTGTACGCGTACTTGTTTTTACCCACTAAAAAGGCTTACTAAAAATACCGATAAATACACGAGTGTTCAAATTGTCAGCGAAGAGTTGAATTTAGTTTAGGGGGGTGTTTAATGGAAGACCACAACGAACCAAGCACTCTGCTCTGCCACGAGCAGGGACTTTTGGAAGGCCCATGCGCATTTGTGCCACGAAGGCCTCGTCCTCATCAAACGCAGCTGCGATTGCTTCCTCGGGCAACCCCGCAACGGCGGCTGCAATCACGAGCAGTCCAGGGTCAGAACTATCCAATATGGAGATAAATCCGGCGGGTTCACAGCCCATGTTCTGCTGGTAGTGCAAAAGGCCTTGAGGGAAGAAAGTCGACTGATCGGCCTTGATATCGTTGATAACGGTTCGTCCACTTTCCATAACGAAACCTATAGTGTAAATGATGAAATATGTGTGAGATATTGAGGTATGATACATATGTTCAAAATTGTGACCCTTTATGTAGGCGAATTTACCATATCAGATCCGATTGAATAAACGTAAGAGTTTAAATTGCTTACCTACTGTCAGCTCGCCTTCAATCATGTAGGCGGACTCGGTACCACGTGGGTGAACGTGGGGAAGATTGATACCACACGGCGCAATACGGAATCGAGTTTGTGCCATATTGGCCACTTGCACGACTGGGAAGGTGTTAATATTAGCTGGCTGCGATGAACCACCATTGCCGTCGGAGTCTACTCGAACTCCGGTTTCAAAATCGGAAAAGTCGAACACAAAATCCTCGGCATCGAAGTTGTCCATGTACCGAAGAGCACTGACTTGTGCACCAGGAAAAGGCCCCATACTTTTCGGCATTTTGACCTCATCCGGATGTTCACATGGCCCCTCTGTTTGTTCTTCTTTTTCATTTTTGCGACAATCTACCCAGCGCCCTTTTCTACAAGTACAAGTTAATGTCTGCCCGGGAACGCGGTCACCGTTGGCGAAGTTATCACCACGGTATCTACAGGTTAGTGGGCCTCGCTGGTCAGGTTGGGCCTTGGATCCGCGTAAGGACACTAGAGCAATTGCTGTTAGTACTATGAATGAACGTGCGATAAACATGCTTACTGTGTTGGTGGTAGTGATATGACAAGCAGTTCCGCATAACTCTAGATTTATAGTTTGGAAAGTTCGGCCATGCAAAATCGGAAGCACATCAGAGCCCGGCGAACACCAATTTATTATCGCCAAGGAACAACTGGGGAAACAGCGCTTGAGGTAATTTTGTGAGCTACAAAATTGCTGGTATTACACGGCCACAACTATCTGTAGTTTTAAAAAGGTCGATCGCAAGTGTTTTTCTTTTTTTGTGAATCGCAGCAGCTGTCTTCCCATCAGGCGAGTCGTGGATCCCATAAAAAGTCCAGGCGGTCGGAGAAGTATGGTCTTAACATAACTAAAAAGTAAACACATAGCCTTCTAAAAATTGAACACAAAAGTAAAAACTGAGGGAATTAGCGTTCAAAATTAAATAAAACCATTTGGTAGGAGTGATGAAATTGATTACTATGCTGTTTTTAATTGGCCAGTATACCTGATACGGGGTTGCTGGCATTTGTTGCCAACCTCTCATCTCAATCTGACATCTCTCATCTGACATTTCAGCTGGAAGTTGAAAGTGGTATTTACATCCAATTTTCAAGCAAAGTGGGTATCCAGGCCATCAGACCAAGTATCATGGTCCTCTGAATTGGGGTCTCTGTGAAAGTACTTGCACCTTCTTGAAGCCAATATTACATTTTCAGTCGAATCAATATAGAGGGTTATGCTGGCGGTCTCTGGCGACTACTTGCAAATAAATAAAAATGTCGACCCCACTATGTACCATCACTTCACTAGCTTTGCATCCATTTTGATGCATGTAGCACAACATAGCAATACACACAAGAGCATATTCAAAATAAACTATAAGCACTAATATACCTATCTTTGAAGACATGGAGGCTGTTTAGGATTGTATAACCCATGGGGGCCTTGTGCTATCGATTCACTTACTACTTTCTATGTCTGCCACACTTAGTGCAACGTACGATCTCGACGAATCACGACAATGTCGCACTAATAAATAAACAAAACTAGATAGGTGACTATTTAAGTCCCTACCATAGATGTAGGTTGCTTTGATCTGGTAAATCCAGGACGTCAAGGGAACGTTGCTCGGGTACAGAATTGCGACGAACAAGGAAAACCAAATACTCGAGAGTACCGAGATATACCTACATTGTATTTATACTGCATTTCACTATATGGACAATGATGCATTCACGAAGTGCATGAGACTATGATATAATAAAGGTCAAAGCTCACGTGTTTAAGTCGTAGGTTGCGCTGAACCAGCTATTCTTAGACTTGACGTGGTCATAAGATCCAACTATTCTCCCAAGACTATTTCACTCTGGCACTTATCAGATCGAATGCTCGACAGTCGTTTTAAGCAATCGACTGGTGTTGCGATACAATACCTGGATTCTGCTGCATGTGCTGTGTTGGATGAACAGGTGCGTTCTCAGAGGCACAGACAGGTGCGATGTTGCAACATCCGAGTGACATGAAGGTACTCTAAAGTACAGAAAACCAGAGGTAAAATAAATAGATGGAACATACCAATACTCCATAGTCAGAAAAAAAACAAAACAAGAATGTACATCTCGATAAATGGAGCAACGTAACTCTTTTATAACTAAATATACACTAGTCCGGTTCATATCGCATATCAAGAAATCGTGTTCTGTGGGTGGGAACATCCCAACCTGTACAAGACGTAGTTAAATACTATTCTGTTTCCCACAAATACACGACAACTGTGCTTCATATCCGTATACAATCTATACGGTTATGGCATCGAAGCTCACCACCCGAAGCTTTCCTATGTTCACACCATGAGAACCTAATCCTCACAATTCTCGGCGCCGTACGCTTTCACTAACGCCAACACCACTCACTAACGCCTACGCAATCGCATAAGCTTTGATTTATCCTGAGGTGGGTGCAACGTAATCTTTCATTACATCGTGCAGATGTTTCTTGTAACTCAGAATATCTCCAGGCCACTTCTTCACCGTCTTCTTATCGCATACCCAGATCTCCTTCGCGACCTGTTGCAGCAGACGGAAATCGTGCGATACTAGTACCATACCGCCCTTGAACATATTAATACCCTTGGCAAGCGCATCGATACCTTCCATATCCAAGTGATTGGTAGGCTCATCGAATAGAAGCAGGTGCGGCTTCTTCTCGGCTAACCAGGCAAATACCAGACGACTCTTTTGCCCGTCACTCATAGTGGAAATGGTCTGCAAAAAAGGTTATAGGCGATGTCAAAGCGTGATACTCATACATAGTAAAGCGCCAGTTCTATCATCCGCAAAACTAAATATAACGTAGTAGTGTTTGACCCATTTTTAACAAACCATATAACTCGGAAAAAAAAGGTACAAGAATAGAAGAGAAACTTACCGACACCTGAGTCTTTCCAGTGATTCCGAACTTTCCAAGGCGTTGCCTCCACACATCAATACCGAGGTTCAAATCCGCGAACTCTGTGCGCATGTATTCGATGGGTGTCTGATCAAGATTCAACTGGTCCGTCGAGTGCTGATGGTATCGCGCCATAGACAGATGCGTGTGTCGGTTGATGGTACCCTTGGTGGGTGAGATCTCATCCTGCATAAGCTTGAGAAGAGTGGATTTTCCTGCTCCGTTGGGACCCACAAGTACAATACGGGAGTCAAGATCTACTCCAAACTCCAGGTTTTTGTACAACATATCTTCTTCCTTGCCATTGTACGCAAAACCAACGTCATTGAAGGCCAATACGGGGGGTGTCAGGATATCGGGATCGGGGAAGGACAGAGGCACACAGCCCTCTTCCTCAACCTTCTTAATCAGACCATCAGCAATCATTTTGTCCAAGATCTACGCAAACAGAATGAATACGCTATGTCAGCATTTAAGTAACTTATTATAACAGGTAGCTGTGACGACCGAGAATACATAGAGAATAAAAATTCATGCATATCGATTGGAGACAAGCTGTTACAACACAGCCGATGAACCAGTGTGGTCTCAACCCACACCGAGTGAACTCGATAAAATGAAGGACACTAAGCACAATTTCTACCCTATAAGTCGATCGGGACGCCAAACAAGAGGTCCAAATACAAACGATAATTACTATGATAGAAAACAGCAATAACAAAAAGTAAAAAGGTATAAAAATACAATCAGTATATCATAATTACACACCTTCTGACGCGACTTGGCCTGTCGCACCAAATTGGCATAAGTACCACAGGTAGCAATGAAATCCTTAATGTTCTTGATCTCTTCTTGCTGTTTGGCGTACTGCTTCATCTGATTGACTTCGTTCTCCTTACGCGTATTAACATACGAGTCGTAGTTGCCTCCGTAGTACATCAGCTCCTTATCTTGGGTGAGGTGCATCATGTTATTGCACACACCGTTCAGGAAATCTTGAGAGTGCGACACCACAATCAGGATACGGTCATACGTACTTAAATACTGCTCCAACCACACACAGGCTTCCAAATCCAAATGATTCGTTGGCTCGTCCAGTAGTAGAAGGGTAGGCTTCACAAACAAGGCACGTGCAAGGGCCACTCGCATACGCCAACCACCGGACAGATCTCTGGTCTCCTTCATCATCATCTGATGACTGAAACCTAATCCGAATAGCAGCTCACCAGCGCGCTTCTGGAATGTGGATGGATCTAATTCATCCAGACGTCTATATATATCATCGAGCAGAGGGGAATCCGGTCCATCGGTCTCCATGATCGACTCTTCTTCCTGTGTGAGGATAAAAGTACAGAATGTACGTGTTGAGCACAAACGCACAAGGCGTATATAAAAGTCATTCGAGTGGGCGAAATAACAATTATATTCATTGTACGAGTAAACGATGATCACAACAAATAATAGACGTACAAAAGTTACGGTCACATAAGATAGACTTACTACACTAATAACCATGACACTCTAACCACGAGTGTATTCATTTTTTAAACCAGTAAAGAGATGCACTCACAAAATGCACTGAAATGAAATGAGGCCTACTTAGATAACTGATGCATCAATCTCGCAGAGCATTTCTTTTTACACCAAGGTACTCTGCGACAAGCGAGACGCAGAAGTATACAAGACCCCGATAGAAGTCACATTGGTTTATTGAATTGTTACACCACATGCACTTGGCCTAAAAACAACGGGCCATTCATCTAATATGGAATATATGGCCCACGAGATGGAATATTTGTGTCAGAAACCAGGAGAACTGGGTATTCCAACGCAAGAACGAAAAAGCAAAACCACACAAGCACAATCAATCGCATACCTTTTCTAGACGCTCGTGTTCTTTCTGGACGAAATTGATAACCGCCTGTAGTGCGTTCACAGGCTCTGGCTCGGCTTCTCTATCCAAGTGATAGATATCAATGTGATCTCCAATAGGTACCTCACGGTTCGCCAAACCCTTCAAGAAAGTCGACTTTCCTGATCCATTGCGGCCCAGGAGACCGTATCTACGTCCCATACTTAACTCGAGATTGGTATCTTGGATAAGAACTTGACCCATGTACATCAGCGAGAAATTCACAAACTTGATATCACGCGACTGGGCATTCTGCACAGCCGACTCTCCGGTCATTACAATATCAGAGATAACCGCGACATCCTCTTTTGCAGCTTTTGACGCTGCCTTTTTACTTTTCTTGTCATCAAGCTTGGCCTGACGAGCGGCCGCCTTGGCCCCTCCCTTACCCTTAGGTGCCATGATACACTTAACTTATATATCCACCTATGTATACGTGCTCTGAACACTCGTTAGTTTCCGCGGTGGCAAGAATGAATTATGTGTACAGTGTTACTATAGAGTGTGTACGCCGGTACTTCGGTATATTGTATGAATATTAATGCATGACCAACAGTCCAGATGGGGCAGGTTCATTATTTCTTTTGCTTTGTCACGGACCGCAATCTGATGATTTGGTTTGCTATAATTTACGACATTGTACCAACCAACCACGTCCAAAATACAAACACTATTCTAAATACATTTTCAGTTCGTTTTCTATTACGCGTGTGTTAAACTCTAATTATAATAATGAATCTGATTGGCCAAATTTGACCTAGACAGTTCACAGGCGGGCCTACAGTCTCACACCCCAATAACGAATACGCCAACAGAGGATTTTTTATCATTTTTCCACTCCAATATTATTTGTTTTATCCCCGTACGTCGCACGTGCCAATTGCGACGCATCGTTTTTAATGGCGTGAATGCACGTGTACACAATATAATATATTTCATACATGTGTTAAAATACCACAGACTTGTACGTTTTGTTTGTAGTGAGCTCGAGACGTCGTCTCTCTCCATCATCATGTGTGTTATCTTTGTCAGATCAGCAAGAAATTATTTTTATTATTGTTTTTAGATCATCATGACCTTGTCGTTGAGATTGAAAACACAATGTATATGTAAGCCCACTCGCCCTGTTGACCGAACTTAAAAATTCGTACGACATGATCAAGTCCCTCTCGTTCTTTGTGTGAGATTTGAAAGTCGAAGAACTTTGAAAAATCACTGAAGGACTAAAGTTCGTAGGAATATGAGATGCAATTAACAGATGGAGACAAAAATATTAGATAGTTGTAAGCGGTCGGCCACAGTCCACGACAAGGCGCAATGGCACAATCCTGTGCATCTAACAGCACACCAACAGCTAATATATCGTACAGCTAATCTGATGGATAGAATGAAATGACAAACATGACCAGGTGATTGGTCTTGTACTTTTACACTAATTCATTCACGGCCCATGCCGTTGAATATGAACATAATGTATTGGGGTATGGGGAGAATTAGCATAGTTTACTCTATAGTATGTGCCATTAATTTAACAAATACAATCGATCGTGAGGAGAAACAAATACTAGTTCTCACGAATGAATTGAGAGGCAATGAATCGTTTCATACACAATTCTGCAAATTCGTCGCTATAAATAGAGCCAACAATCGCAATAAAGTTTCGAAACACTATATCCGTCTGGAAAACTCAGGATGTAGACATCTAGTGAGCACTATAGGTAGCCTGCAGATAGGAGTACTGACTGTTATTAATACACTATAGAAGAATTTTACAGATAAGGCTACTAACTGCTGCACACTAGAGAGAAACGTCTATATTCTATATAAACAATTCCAGTCTATTTACAACACTTCAGTAGCCCAAATACTTGCCTTTTTCAATTTTTCATTTGAACACACATAGCCTTCTGAAAATTAAACAGTACACGTTCATTTTTTTATTTAGCTATTTATTTTATGTGTATCGGCAGTCCTCCTGTGAAGTTGAACGGACTATATATATATTTCTTTTTTTTATTAAAACCATATTTTAAAGAGGACAGGCCGGCTGACTCTCACAGGCCGGCTGACTCTCAAATCTCAACACAAGTGATCACGGGCAAATGGCTAGTGACAAGTGACAAGTGACAAGTGACAAGTCTCAAGACGTCGTCGTCATGCTTGATACAATTGGGCATGTTTGTATTGTTAATATATGGTGGTTCCGCTCTAATGATCATTTGTCAATATTGCCACAATCTAAAAATATAATGGCGAACAGATATTCAATAAATTAAGATTAAGGTAATTCAATTGGTACAAATAAATCGGGCGCTACTGTTTCCATCATTCTAAACAACTTATGTCAGAGTTACATACACGACTAAATATAAATTATATAAATACATAATGTGTAATCAACTGTAAACGCAACAATTACACGTCCAATGTATTTAGATGCTGTTTTACAGTAAATTCACATTCTTCTACATATCAACGGCGATGGTTAATTGTGTTGTGAATGGATGTCGGTCAGGCACAGGTCAAGATCACACTTAAGCGTATAAACGAGTGGTACAGATTGATATCGTGGGGACTCCATTGCCTCCCTCTGTGACATATGCAGTTGTTATAGAACCAGATCTATCTGTGAATGTCTATCTGCTAAAGTCGATTGGTTCCCTGCCAGGAAGCTGTGAATCGCCACTATATGTAACTACTATTGTATAAGAAAGAAATAGTAGTTACCCGAAATGGGTTCGCAAACGAACTGATTTCACTTCTTTATTAAATAGTGTTCATATTCAGTACGAATTGTTTTCTGATGATCGGCAGCCGTGCAAATAAAGGCATCATGGCTAAAGTTATGAATAAAGGTGATATTTACATAATTATGGATGAAGGTGTTAGTTTAGTTTCGCTTATCGATGGTTTTGTATAAATTTACGTGTTTGTGGGGGTGGCTTTAATTCTAGGGTACATAAAGTCAGGCTGTGAGTTTCGCGTGCAATAGAAATGGAGCGGAAATATTCAGTCTCAAAATAGATCGTTGTCGACAGTCGGGACTCGGGTCCAAAAAAAAATAGTCCTAATCTCATATCGTACACCCTATAACATAAACGTTCCACTTTCACAGATAAGATGCACTCGAATAAATTATAAAATATAAATGTTCTTTCATTGACAAATCAGAACACATGACGCTTTATAGCCAATGACAAACATGTGAGGCTGTGAATCACTATTTATTTACACCTCATGTTGTCGTGAAAAATTGGGACGAAGTATGGATTGGACCACTTCGAATCAAAAGTCTAATTTACATGTACAATAGTGATTTTAACGTTAGTACGTTGAACGTTATGAGATTAGGTCGGGACTCGGTCACTCGGAGTCGAGCGGGCGGTAAAAATTCGAACAAGGTTGGCCTGTTACAGGTGCGAGTATTTATAGATTAGAAGTTCGGAATCATCATACCATATATGACCACTGGCAGAAAAAGGCGGGATTCATTAGGTAAATATAATCGCGCGATAATTGACAACCTGACATGACTGACATCATGATTCAGCAACTAATCACGTTGCTCCAATAATTTATAAATACCACGAACTGGGTCAGTTGAACAATTTAAACTGTATTCACTACAGATACTAAATAATACTCTCTAGTGGTGCATATTGATAATTGGTATAGCTATTGCTTCATAGTCAAAATAACAACATTCCATGTTCACTTAGATGCGGTGAGGGCACATCCATCAACTATAATGAATGATAGCGCAGAAGTTTGTGAGGAAATTTGCGAGGAAATCGCTAACAATCGCGATGTGAATTGGCATCAGTTGGATAAGGTAAGCAACCTTAACGACGTTCCTGAAAGTGCATGTATAAACGAAACTTTTGAACGATTAAAATTTCAGACGAGAAAAGATATCAAATGCACTGCCAAAATATATAAACTCCTAACATGCATACTACGGTATAGGGTACAGAAATATAATATATATATATATATATAATACTATATATATATATATACATATATATATATATATAATACTAATACTAATACTAAACAAATAACTATATATATATATATATATATCTATATATATACATTTATATACATATACTTATATATTTATATATAGAAAACTCTAAATCTGAATCTAAAACAATAACTATATATATATAAAACTACATATATATATATATTTATCTATATCTATATCTATATCTATGTCTATATCTATGTCTTTATCTATATCTATATATATATGCACCATCAAAGAATATCTACAGCCCACATATACACTATCTCACCACTATCCACATAACGACGGTGGCACCAGACAGAGCTCATGAACACATACCACATACACATACCCATTTTATCAACAACACATCTACCTACACGACACGTTACCTTGGTAACCAGTTGCCGTGTCAGTGCGTAGACTGTGGCGTGTGTGCTGGTAATGAGAAGTTCTATCAATTGCCCAAGCAGTGACGCATACGATCCACTGCGCCGTTGGTATGCCCATTTGACGTCTGGGGCTGAGAGGGGTGTCAGGAAAGTGGATAAAAAATGGTACCAAACATGCATAAGTATGTGTATGTGAATGTGAATTTGTATGTGCATGTGTTTTTGTATGTAATGTGTATGTGTATATAATGTGGATGTGGATGTGTATTGTGTATGTGTATGTAATGTGTATGTGTATGTGTATGTAATGTGTATGTAATGTGTATGTGTATGTAATGTGTATGTGTATGTAATGTGTATGTAATGTGTATGTGTATGTAATGTGTATGTGTATGCGTATGTAATGTGTATGTGTATGTGTATGTGTATGTAATGTGTATGTGTATGTGTGTGTGCATGTGTACTGTGTATGCGTATGTATATATGTATGTGTATTTGTATTTGTATATGTATATCAATGTGACTCACTTTGCGACGTCCGATTATATCACTGATGCATAGTGGCTATACATCTGGACATACACTCATGTGTGACAAGTATATGAGCGGCAGATGAACGGACTACCTCCACGCAGCACTTTGTAACACACTCTGATTTTGCGGGTACATCCATCGACATGCACAAGGATACACATCTGCACTATATGCCCAGGGTCTCTTTCTGCACTGATATTGACCTGTTTCTATACACTGACGTCTCTGTGTCTAGCGTTAGTAATTGCAGATGCTATAACACACTCCCACTCACTACCTTCCAACAGCATTGATAGGATAGTCCCAGTCACATGCGTGTCAAACGTGGTACCGAACATCTCGGTCGGTATGGTTTTGCCCATGTCGTAGCGATTGACCTTGATGCTGTCGGGGAAGCACCTGATATATCGTCGGACCTGAAATGTATCGAGTTAACATGACTTGACGTACAATTGCAGTTTGGGGCTAGAACTGTCCTAAATCGGTGAGACACAATGAAGTTGAGAGAGACTATTGTCTGGATTCATATTTGTTTCCGTTCGAGGTAGAAAGGAAACTTCATAGAAAGAGTGCTATACAATGTACCATTAACCAATAGAAAGAGTGCTATACAAATGTACCATCAACCAATAGAAAGAGTGCTATACATATGTACCATCAACCAATAGAAACAGTGCTATACAAATGTACGATCAACCAATAGAAAGAGTGCTACGTTACACGCACAATTTGGCATACACACAGATCTCCTCACGTACAGACGCACGTGTGTCCATTCAGGCCAGTCGTAACCTCATACATATACACGAACGCGCACACTTTCACATACTCACAGATCTCCTACCCCTAAAACATACGCACATATCCCCTTACTGCACAGACGCCCATGCATACCAGTTGTAAGGATCGCAAGTAGACTAGCTTAGCGCCTTTGCGCTCGTCCTCATCTGCAGCGCTAAGGCTTTGCAAGTACTGTGTTTGGCTGCTCTGTAGTGCACCCACCACTACCACTTGGAATGGGGGCAGGCGCTTCAGCAAGGCATCTATGCCGGGACAAAGCGGGATGGTGGTGAGGCTATTAATAGATGGTGAGTGAGGCGTGTCTGACAAAAGACACGCGCCGCAATAGCGCGATATAGAAAATTCGCCTCACATACATATGCATAGCAATAGGAATGGTATAGATATATACGTATATGCACGTATTGATAAGAAAGCTACAGCAACGCTAACGTGTGTGCAGAGCTTACCTACCTCTACAAAGGCGCACGGTGCCGTGTGCGTGGGGCGGCAGTGAGTGCAACAATGTACTCGCCTTATCCAAAGACCTTATCAGAGCAGCTGTGAAAGACCTGTAGAGGCACCGATGAGGACGTCATTGGTTGTGAGTGTATGTGTATATATATGATATAAATGATAATAATAATAATATACAATAATGATAATAATAAAAAATAATAAAATGAAAAATATATATATATAGATACATGTATGTATATATATATGTATATATATATATATTTACATGTATGTCTATATATATATATATGTTAATATGTCTATATATATATATATATATATACATATATATATATA